CCTCATCCCGTCAAAACCAACGGCAATTTAGTTTGATTTATGTCTTGAAAGCGGTGACGTGTACCAAGTAAATCTAGTATATTTTTTTAGAAAGGACCCGAACCCTTATATTAATGGACGAGTGAACTTTTAATGTTTATCAAGAGGAACACATTACGTGTGAGGAAATGTGTGTGTTTGTCTCTCTCTCTCTCTCTCTCTCTCTCTCTCTCTGTGTGCGTGTGTGCGTGTGTGTGTGTGTGCGTGTGTGTGAGCTTACGTACTCGGCAAAAAGCATCGTGAGGAAACCATATCTGAGAAATATAGATAAAATATTTCTGAACCTTGTGCCCGGTACAACGTGGGGGAATAACTGCTCCATTCTTCTATTTGTCCATCAACTCAAAAAATACACTACCTGCTCTCCGTTTCTGCTCCAGGTTTTGCTTTGTTTCTTTTATTTATAAAAGAAATAGCAGTTCCCCGCGATTTTGTTCACGTGGAAGTTTTTCGCGCGGAACTCTAAAATAAAAGTTACTTGGTTACTCCTTATAACATTAGCTATTTGCTTGTGAAAGTTCCATCAAAATCGGTTAATAAATTTTTGCGTGATGCGTGTACACGCCAAAATAGCTCGCAGACGGTTTTTTTTTCAGACTTACTTACTCGTAACATTTATCGTTATATTTAAGCCAATTTACACAATATCTTTATGAATTATAGCTTATGTGTTATTCTAATATATGGACTATATTATTCTAAAGTTTCATTAAAATCCATTCAGTAGTATTTGCGTGAAGGAGTAATAAACATCCATACATCCTCACAAACTTTCACATTTATAATATTAAGTAGGATAGTAGTAATTATTACTACTAATTATTAATATTACTAATATTCCCGATAACCCTTCCAAGTAAGCCGAAAATTTCTGCGTTAGAAGATGTTCACGACTGCAGTTCAATATTGAATTCGAACCTCTCGTCTTACCAAGTTGGAAGACCGTACCATTTATTATTAGGCTTTAGTTGACTACATCGGGGAAGGACCACGCTTTTACAGAATACCAGCGTAAAATATCAGCTTAATGCTGCTGTATTTCGTATGGTGAGTGTAGATAATTGGAGAACCTGTATACTTTTTTTTATAGGATAGGTTGACAAACGAACACACAGTCCACCTGATGGTAAGTGGTTGCCCCTTAGACATTTAGATCTATCCTCAATAAAGAATCAAAATGCAGATGTGTTGTCACCCGTGAGGACTAAGATGGAATGCCTCTTTTCCAGTTAAAATGGTCTCCTATTCTCTAACCTCACAATACGAAACACAGTATTTTGGGCTGATATTATGTGAGAGCGTGGTCCTTCCTTTGTCGAACCGACCCATTCGTGCTACAACTATACTACTAATATAGCTGCAGCATGCTATCACGTATAAACTTTACGAATATACTTAACGAATTTAAAACTCTGAAGTTTATGCTAATTTCTGATATACATATTAAACGCCGGAATTGCAAATACTGAGGAAGTCAATTTGAATAAGTGAATGCAAAGTGGTATTATTCAAAGAATACTTTGTTTGCGTTTCGAGATTGAATATAGTTAGGATAAACACATTTACTACACAAAAATAAAGAAACACAATTTTAATTTACATTTTAAGAGCTTTTATTTAACTCGCATTATTATTAAAATTGAAGTGATAAACGAACTTAGAGCCCACCTGTTGAATAGTGGCTACTGCAAAACATGGATACTTGCAATCAACTTCATACAAAGAAGACTATAGATGCGTTATCATCTCTGAAGACTAAAATGGAATGTCTCACATCCTGTAACTATACTGGTTCCTATTCCCACCAGACTTCAAACACTGCAGTGTACGCAATGCCGTATAGGATGGTACCTACCCAAGGTAAATAAGGTGCCCTATTAAATAGTAAGCCATGTTTTCATACAGAGTCAAACATTGTAAATCTGCAGTTAAAATTGCATTTGACAATTTTGTTGTTGCCGGTGAGAATAATAGTAGGTTTGATAAATTTTTATTACTTCAGATTGATGGCTCGCGGCAACAAATATATATGCATTTACCTATATTTATGAAAAAGTTGAAGTAAACTTGGTTATACCGTTCTTACTTAAGTAGAATATTTTTTTTAAGTTTAAGAGTTTTCTGTCGTTTTTATAGAATAATGTAGAGCACGCAGCCCACTTGATAGTAAGTGATCCCTCTACAAAGTTAAAATATCTTTTAACATAAATTTTAAAATGAGAAACTTCGTTGTTATATATTACTTAGAAATATACTTTGATCTGCATTTTAAATGGTTTATGAGTTTAAAGTTAAAAAATAAAATTTAAATTTAAATGGAATCAAGCAACTGAGGGCTTTAGGAACTAGACTGCAAATGTTGAATATTTAATATGAATTACCGTTGAAATAATTGTTTGAAGTGGATTTAGGTATGAAATAGTTGTGTGATCTAGTAACTAATACCATAATATTAAAGCAATCAGCATTGACGTAATATGCTGATCCTATGGTGATAAGGACGTTCTTTAAAAATAAGGGTGAAACGAAACTCTCAACCTACATCAGTACGTGGTAGAGTCTAGCTGAAACTATATTATGGTTTATCACGAATGGGTCCGCTCGACTGGGAAAGGACCACACTCTAACAGAATACCAGCATGAATAAGTGGTAAAATTATTAATTTTGTACAACCGGCTTCAATATAAATTACTAAGGATAACTCAAAAACTAGTGGTCAGACCTTGATCAAATTTATATGGGACCATTTTAGAATCATCAGCTTCAAATTACACAATAAAAAAAACCGACCAAGTGCGAGTCCGACTCACGCACCGAGGGCTCCGGACAAATCCGTAGGTATATAAGTTTAAAATTATTAAAAATACTTTTATTATATGATGTAACTAAAAGTTTATGCTTTTCGCAATTTTTCCTTTATCTGTGCTATAATACGTTGCTTCGTACCAAATTTTAAGATTCTGAGTTCACGGGAAGTACCCTGTAGATTTTGATCCCCTTGCAAATGTCGTAAATTTGCGGCATAAACGGCTTTATCTTTTGATTGCGTCGGCTTAGAAGTTTGATTGTTTCACAGCTCCAAGGGATGGTAGACTTGAGTATTTGATATAAATTTCAGCTTGATACCTCCTCGCGTTCATGAGAAAAACTTGATAGACAGACAGACGGACAAAAAAGTGATAAGGGTTCCGTTTTTTCCTTTTGAGGCACGGAACCCTAAAATCATACAGTTGAATTTATTATTTTTGAAGTCAGTTAAAAATCAATTTAATTTTTGTGTTCCGTACAATGAGTCTAGATAATCGGATACCCATTTTACCAGAATCATTTTAACCAGTAAAGGCAACTTATTAATGCTACAACTATAATAATACTGCAGGATGGATCACCACGTTTAGAGTTATTTTAGGTCTATCAGTATGGCACCTTGGAATACGCTGTTGAAGAAACGAAATGTAATGAAAAATGAATATTATATTTGTTCCTTCATCACAAATGCGTACACCATATGTCTACTTACCAAATTAACAGAAATATAGAATGTTGTGATATTTTTGCGGCAGACCGGAGGTTAAACTGGGGTTTACATGAATTTCAGGACTCCAGGGTTCTGTCGCTAAGTGATTGTGTTTGTGTGTGTGTGTGTGTGTGTGTGTGTGTGTGTGTGTGTGTGTGTGTGTGCGTGCGTGTGTGTGCGTGCGTGTGTGTGTGCGTGTGCGTGTGCGTGTGCGTGTGCGTGTGTGTGCGCGTGTGCGTGTGCGTGTGCGCGTGCGCGTGCGCGTGAGAGTGCGCGTGAGTGTACGTGTGCGTGTGCGTGTGCGTGCGCGTGCATGTGCGAGTGCGCGTGCGTGTGCGTGTAATTACTTTACTTACTTTATTAAAAACTATTATATTGAAAAGAATTTAACGTAAATTGAGTTACAGATCTAGGCAGCATTCGTGTTTTTCATTTGAATGACTAGCAGCTCGGTCAATTTGTAGCTAACTACTTAGCTCAATACGCTTAAGTGCTCACTAAGACGCCAAGCCAGGAGATTAATTAGACATATATATCGCTTATAGCTTGAGATACCTATTTCGCATGTGTGTGTTAAATGGGAACAGATGTGTTGTTGGTACTAGAACTTTAAATATACACCTTAAACTTATTCTACACTAGCTGTTCCCCGCGACTTCGCCCACTTTTAATTTAGGTTATTAATTTTTTTGCACGGAACCCTAATTCTTTTTCTAAAACCAAAGTAGTCTAAGTTACTCCTTATATCATCAGCTATCTTCCAGTGAAAGTCCCATCAAAATCGGTCCAGCCGTTTCGGGGATTAGCCGGAACAAAAAGACAGACAACGGACAAAAATTTTTAAAATTGCGTTTTTGTTATAAGTACCATATATACTTTTATATGCATTTAGCGAAAATATTTTATTTAGACGTTACAAACAGACAATCCAAATTTATTTATTTGTATGGATTAACACACATTTATACTTTTGTGGGGGCTACACTGCACATCCCACCGACAAAAAATATTTTTTTTAATCTATTTTTATCAAACCTTAATACTATTCTAAACGTAATGAAAATGATGAATGTAATCATAATGAAAACTTAGTGGAAATTAAGTCTTAGTGTTATAAAAACTATAATCTAGTGTATAGGTACCGAGATTTAACGGAGCGTTTTGTCACATCCTCTAGGATTGCTGGCGTACTGTGAAATAGACGATGGACGCTTAGTTCCTTTGATATTAAGCTCTAACAAACTTAATTATAGATTGCACATTAGATTTATATTAGAGAAGAAAAGATAATGGAACCAAGACTACCTCCTGTTGATTTCAGTGATGGTTCATTAGAGTAGATAAATGAAAGCTGGTATATAAAGCTCTTCCCTCAAGGACTTCTAACATTTAAAGCGAAAGCTTGCCTCAGTTACCAACAAATAGTGAATCATCACAAACGAAATGACTTCTAAAGTTACATCGGTATTTGTTTTGTTTGTCTCTGTTGCTGTAATTAGTATAATAGAATTCGTCAAAGCTGATCCTGCTATTATGAATGGATATAACCCAATGGAAATCTGTATTGAAAACTGTGCCCAATGCAAGAAAATGCTCGGATCATGGTTCGATGGTCCTATTTGTGCCGAATCATGCATCAGACATAGAGGCAAGCTTATGCCGGACTGTGAAGATTTTGCTTCTATTGCACCGTTCCTGAGCAAGATGTAACATTATTAATAACTGAGTTTAACTACATCTGACAAACTCGAATTTATATCAAAGGAACTGAATATTGTAGAGATTCTGCAAATGTATACAAAAATACTTAGAAGAAATAAAATATTTTATAAGTATATAGGCTTAAGATCGTTTTGAATATAACAACTTTTATGAATTTTATCGAGTTTAATTTAACTTGTTCCAACTCCCCATGTTACGAGTGCTGTGCAACACATAGTTACGAAGAGGGGGAGGGGACTGAGGTGTTACACGTCCCTGTTAACCCGGAGTACTTTCAGTTTTCAATTATTCGTTTTGGTCTGATTTATGATGACGTGACAAGATGAGTGAGAGCCTAGTGTCTTGAAGTCTTATAGTGCTCAGGTTTGTATTAAATATTATTAATTACATGATTCCAAGCAGGTGGTAGCATCCAGCTACTTCTTCTATTGAAATTGGTAACATTTGAGGTTCTTTTGATAAGATTTTTGGTGTATCAAATCTGATTAATATATTGGGGTTAGCTGTCTATGATATGATCACAGACAGCAGATATCCTGGAGCATTCGCGTAAATATAATAAAAAAACATTACAAAATCTTATAATCATTAAAAAATAAGTATTATTCTAGAAAACTAATACTGAACTTAATTTAGTTTTATAACACGATGGAAATTTTAAATATGTGATAATATTTGAACTTTTATGAATGGTCTTTAATCATAAGATTATACTGAATTTGAAGAAATAAAAAAGATCCCACCAAAAACATTCTGTAAAAAACTAGCCAAGTCTCGATGGAGCTGCTTGTTTATCTCTAAAAAGTAATGAAATCTAGACAAAGTCGTGCCAAGTCTAAGGTTCCTTACTGCGATTTCTTTATTATTATAGTTAATGTTGTGTGACTTGGCCGTTGAAGGGTACACAAGGGTACATAATCAGGTGCTACATGACACCATTGCACCAATCTGTCGCCAGAAACGCTACCCATTGACGATGGAAAATTGCCACTTGGAAAACGTTGATTGAATAACCAGTCAATTGTAAGGTTGATAAAGTTGAGTTTACACGTAATGTTGCAAGTAATTGTATTTACACGTAATGTTATATCTGTTGTAACTACCTATGTTTGTTAAGCGAGATAATAGCCCGTAGTGGTTTTGGTAACTGGACGCTAGTGTCTCATTTTAGGCGATTGTTGATTGTGCAACACATGCATTCAGCATTGACATTGCTGACTTCTGCTCTCTTCTTTTTGGAGCGTCAAATCGACCACCGATGTAACATAAAATAGACGTACAGACGGACTTATATTAATGATTAGAAGTCCGCCTGTACTGGAAATAATTTTTATAGTGTTTGTTTCAGGCTCGCCTATACAAAAGTATTATTGAAATACGCAGCTTTATCAATCCTACAATTGACTGGTTATTCAATCAATGTTTTCCAAGTGGCAATTTTGTATCGTCAATGGGTAGCGCTTCTGGTAACAGATTGGTGCAATGGTGTGTATGCAATGTAGCACCTGGTTTTGTACCCTTGTGTACCCTTCAACGGCCAAGTCACACAACATTAACTATAATAATAAAGAAATCGCAGTAAGGAACCTTAGACTTGGCACGACTTTGTCTAGATTTCATTACTTTTTAGAGATAAACAAGCAGCTCCATCGAGACTTGGCTAGTTTTTTACAGAATGTTTTTGGTGGGATTTCACTGCTTTTTGTAGAAACGTGGGCATATTGATTTATTTTATTAGATTTTCTTATTCGATACATTTTTTTCTTTTTAGGAGTAGTTTTTTTTATTATTACAAATCTTTCTTTTTTTTCCGGTTCTGATTCTTGTACAGTAGCAACAGTTTTTCGTATTGCTCATTCGCGTTCATTATTTATTCCTTTAGACGGTTTAGACGGTTTAATTTCTGAAAGATCGGCGCAGTATTTACGCCTAAGCCGGTTGTATTCGGTGATCACTGAAGCTTGAGCTTTTATACTCTTGAACTCTTGACATTTATGAGGTGCACCCTATGAAGATTTGTTACTCGTGAAAGCGCCACGTAGGCTTGGCCACAAGAGAACATGGAGGTGCCAATGTCTATGAGGGCATTTTTTAGACTTAGATCTTGTCTCTTGTGAATTGTTAGGGCATACGCCACACAGATCGGGAATTGTTCTCTGTACGCGTATTTTTTTTATGTACCAATAGTAGAAGGGGGCATCACCATATCTCTAATACATCTGAGACCAGCTGAGGGTTCTTCATCAGATACTTCAGACCTTCGATTTTTGACATCAAATGAAGCGGCCCACCAAGTTGAATATTTTTTGTAAAGGCGGTATGTTGATCTCTTCTAATAGTTTGGTTGGGCTCTTGTGTTTTCTAATCAGGGTCACCAGGTACTTCAGATCTTCGATTATCCTAGTTTTTATAGTTTTCTCTTTATGTGGCCATTAAACCCTAACTCTGTACCAAATTTCAGCTCTCTGTGTTTATGGGAAGTACTAGTTCTATTTTGATGATCATGAGTGAGTGAGTGTCATAAATGCGAAACTTTGCTTTCGCTTAACTTCGGAACTAAATGACCTACGAACTTGAAATTTTGGATTTTAAGTATATGATTATAGCTTACTGGATGACGAAAATTTCTGCGTTCTGGTCTTATCCGGAGGTTCTCAAATAGGGGCCTGAAAATGCGGCGAAATGGTTCCAGTAAAGGATGGTACGGCAGTGCTTGCTTCGCGCTCGACTTGGCGGGGGCACTGCCGTGCCCCCCGATCAAAAAAGATTAAAAAATTTGATGGTGTGGTCGAAATTTAATTGAATTTTTTTTTAATAAATGAAATTACTTCCATGGTTCCATTTCTCGATAAAATATCAAGGATTTTTAAGCCACACAGAGTTCTTTCAAAAAAAAAAAGAAACCACATAGAATGCAAATATTCTTGTATCCATATATTTTTATGTAATAAGTAGTATAAATAAGTACTTTCTTGCAATTTCCTTATGCAGTTTTTATAACTAGCTTTACTGGAACTGCTTTGATCTGAAAAAAGTAAATAGTAGAATATATTAGAAAAGTAAAAAGATAAGCAATTCTTCGCATTTCTGAAGACAAAATGGATTAAAAGTATTCATCTCGCGAAAAATCCACATAGAGGTTGGTGCTTGGTGCACATTTGCAGTTTGCACACAATCGACTATTTGGGGTGTGTGCTTTTGTACATAATTACTTTAATATTTGAAGTGGGCTCTTCTTGCAGATCTTATTTCATAAAAAAATACAACAAATAACCACGAAAAAACAGAAAAAACACCGGAACGTTGTTAAAAACAAGAGAAAAAATAATAGAAATAGATAATAGAGCTGATCTACGAGAATAACTGTGTAGAGACTAAAGATACGATAAAATAATCGATTCTTCGTTGGAATCGATACTTTTGCTTCGATGCGGAAGACTTTTGTAAAATAGTGCTTACGTTAGGATTCATTTCCTTTATTTTCGGTACTTTTTATATGACTATTATAATATTAATATCATTATACGCGCATATAACATTATTGCAGCGAATATTCGATTTATAATATAACTTTGGTATAAACAATCCAATTAAATTCAAGTTATATATATATATATATATATATATATATATATTGTTGTTATGGTTGTTCATGGGCGGCGGTTGTTACTTACCATCAGGTGAGCCGCATGCTCGTTTGCCCCTCTCTTATAAAATATTTATATATATGTACATAAAATCTTCTTATATATTGATTACAATTGACATCTTACAATTTTCTTTTCAATTCAATAAACCAAGGAGGTCAACAAACAATAAAAACAAACTACCCGTTTGAAAATAATATCATGGGCTTAGAATCCATTGCCAGCCATTGAAGGAGAGTAATTGGGAGGATGATAACAAAGAAATAAAGTGCTGGCTAACTGATTTCCGTTTAAATAAATTGTTGTTCAATATACATTGCCGTGTAGTGGTGGTTAAGAATATCCACTACCCCATATCTTCCCGTGGGTGTCGTAGGAGGCGACAAACGGAAACAGGCAGGAGATGGGCAGCAGCATATTCCCTATGAATAGAGTAACAAAGAGACGGCCCCCAGTCCCCGGCGGCCCCGCTATTCCTGAATACGGTGGCGACCATGGTAACGGCGGGGCAAGGGGTGCTAAGAATCTCCGTTGGTAGTTCGATTGCTACCTAAGAAGACTCGACCTGGCAACCCTGAGGACTTACGAGAAGATCGTGGAGCTGGAAGAAGAGATAGACAAGTTACGCTGGCATATTATAGGATTATTCGAGGTCCGAAGAGAGGGGGAGGACACGGTAATCCTCGAACCCGGTAACTTGCTTTATCACCGGGAGTGCAACCATCTGTCCAAAGGAGGTGTTGGATTTATCGTCTACAAGTTTCTCGTTAACAACGTTGTAAAGATTGAGAGTGTGTCGGCGAGGGTTTTCGTTAAAGGTCATACAGGTTAACGCACCAACCTTGGCACACCCCGATGAGGAGGTGGTGGAAACGAATGAGGATATCTCTAGAGCCATGCATTCACCCAAAACCCACTATACGGTGTGAATGGGAGTTCAATGCAATACTAGGCAAAAGAAATAACGGTGAGCTAAAAGTCGGGAAATTTGGAATAGAGCAACGGAACCCAAGGGACCAGCAGCTGGCTGACATCATGGAGAAAGAGGAATTCTTTATGATGAACTCTTTCTTCCGGAAGCGGCCCCACAAGAAGTGGGCCTGGTCAAACCCCGACGGTTCGACAAAAAATGACATTGAATTCATTATGACGACCAGACGACAACTTTTCAGTGATGTCTCAGTGATCGCGAGGGTAAAAACTGGTAGCGATCACCTAATGGTTAGAGACACACTGAACCTAAACGTTAAGTTGGAGAGGTTTCGTCTAATGAAGTCAACGCTCCGTCCCCCTCGTGCTCTGTTCCAAAGACCCGAAACCTTTCAGCTCGAGTTACAAAAC